CGGGGCAGGCCACTTCCTGCCACTCCGCTTGTATTCCTATTGGCCTATTACTATGATGCATTGCTTCACAGGCCAATGGGAATTTGCAGGTGGCAGAATGAAGTGGGCAATTTTTGCCATGATCATAAAGTGATGAAGCTGCAGGTATATGTGCAGACACCTCTAGATGCAAGCACTTTATGTCTGCTGCAGTCTTTTTTTCTTTTAAATGCTATAGTCTCTTTGAAGAAGAACTCCGGTCAAATAAAAACTTACCCTTGCAGTGGGTCTACCCTTGCACTCTGCAGGGGTTTAGTGCTCGTTTTGATCTAGGGGCTGAAATAAAACAGAATTGCTGATCTGATCCTGGCTTCCTCTGGCCTGCTAGACCGGTCCCAGCATCCCCTTCTCCCCCGGGCTTCGGCAGTCTAAGGACCACCAACATCATTACGTGTACTGCAGGTTCATTGACTTGCATTGGATGTGAGGATAACGAAGAACATTTTCAAGTGCGGGGGTAGGTTTTTATTTGCCCCGAGCTCCTCTTTAAACATGACACCTCGAAAATACACTAAAATATTCATCAATTGGAAGTACATCTACCTTCCCCACCCTTCTCATTCCCAGCATTACATTCGGGGCCGGATTTCCCACAAGGCCAACCAAGGCCCGGCCTCGGGGCAGCAGGGGGTGTGGAATTCCTATCTCCCGATGCCCGGGACATGCAGTTCCGGGCGCCGGGCAGATAGTTGTTTTCTACATTTAGCCCTGCTTTGGGCAAGCAGAGTTAAATGTACAGCGGGGAAGCCGCCGCTTGTTTTGTACAAGTGATCCAGGCGATGTCATCGAGATCACTTGTATGCAGCCTGCAGGTCTGCCATTCTCCATGGGGCTGGGGGGTTGGCAGGTAGGATAGCACATTGAGGAACCTGGCCTTGGGGCAGCAGAGAAGAGTAAATCCGGCCCTGATTACATTTACTGCTAAGGTGCAGAGTCTGCTTGAGTTCTCTTTTAACGGGCTTGTCTTTTGCTAACATGAAGCTGACCTTGGCACCATGTCACAGATGAAGCCATCTTTGTTTACACCACCTCGGTGTACAAGGCCAAAAATGTTTCGTTATCTGGTTTCTAGAACATCACCCATTAAAAATCGTTCTTAGAAAAAAGTACTTTCGCTCACAATTGAGTGACGCCTACGTGAAACCTTGATGGTTCTCTCTATAATGAGCTGCACTGTAGAGCCTGCCATGTGGAAAATAACTCTTGTAGTAGAATCTATTAATATTTCCCCTTTTCAAAGTGGAGCGTGATACTGTTGTGATGATTATTTGTTGATTGTGATTCTTGAGGGTTTATTAAATGTCTACATTCAACATGCGTCAACCTCTCGCTAGAAAAGTAGAGAAAGAGGTAGTCTCGACTTTCATGTCAACATAACTTAAATACAGCACCTTGAAGGTAAAAGGGAGGCTGCCATTGTTGTTCCCTCCATACGGGTGAGGTGAGGCAGATTGGGGGGCAAGACTGACCATGTCTAGCTACTTCAATGGCTGTCCTCTTTATTGAATAGCCCCAGTACTTTGTCACCGACCCAGAAAAAGGGTTTATTTTGTACCTCTCTGGAATACATGCCCATTTTCCCATGTTTTCTCCCTTTAAATATGCTGCAAGTACAGAACAATAGCTGTTGATGTGCCAGTGTTTTCCTATCTTCCTTTTTGGCATGACAACATGTTAATTCCTAAACACCTGATGTCAGCACTGCATCTTTCATTTCTGATGGGTTACAAATAGCACAGACCTCTCCTCATCTCCTTCTCCCTTTTCATCTCCATAACCTCACCCATCTCTTTCTCCCTTTTCATCTCCATAACCTCTCCCATCTCCTTCTCCCTTTTCATCTCCATATTGCCTCCTTCTCCCTTTTCATCCCCAAAACCTCCCCTCGTCTCCTTCTCCATAATCCCTCGTCTCCTTCTCCCTTTTCATCTCCATGACCCTTCCCAGTTTCCTTTTCCATCTTCATAACCTCCCCACATCTTCTCCCTTCTCATCTCCATAACCTCCCCTCGTCTCCTTCTCCCTTTTCATCCCCATAACCTCCCCTCATCTCCTTCTCCCTTTTCATCCCCATAACCCTTCCTCATCCCCTTCTCCCTTTTCATCCCCATAACCCTTCCTCATCTCCTCCCTTTTCATCTCCATAACCTCCCTACATCTCCTTCTCATCACCATAACCTCCCCACATCTCCATAACCCCTCATCTTCTCCTTCTCATCTCTATAACCCCTCCTCATCTCAATGTCTCCTCCTTGTGCGCAGGATCAATAGGGTATCTTTCCCCCATTATTGAACAGATAGAACAAAACACTTGCAATTGTATTTAGCAGAGAAAGAAAGAGACCAAAAGAGAAGTTCATTGTTAGGGTTTACATTCATTTTATTTTATACAATTCTTCTTCCTGGTCAGTAATAAAGCAGTTAGAGAATAAGCATGTTAGCGGGGACAGCCCTCCCATATTTCTTTTTACACAGCCTCCTATGAGGATGAGTAGGAGAGATGTGATTCAGACAAGTGTTGAGTTGTTCATTTTTGTTATTGAGGTTGATGGTTAAAGGAAAAGCTGCATATAGTTCCATTGAGTAATCATTTTGAATAATTGGAGATTTATTCGAAATTACATACGTTTCATATTTTGTATGTACAAGGTATGCAATATACAGGCTTGTGTTTCAGAGACAGAGTTGCAGTGCTTCCACTTGTGGCTGCTTCTCTTTATTCGCTAGGTACCCTTAGCAGACAACCAGAATGTCACCGTCGTTGTCTGAGACGTCTCTAAAGAGGGAGAAATGGAGATGGTGAATCGGATGGATGGTAATCAATGAAGGGATGGAGATAGGGATGGGCAGATGGATGAAGATAGAGATATGGATTGGGATGGAGGAAAGGATGGGGTGGATGAATGGAGATAGAGAAATAGTAGAAAACATAGGGATGGGAATATGGATGGATAAGGTTAGAGATGTAAATAGATGGATGAAGATAGATATATGGATTAGGATGGAGGAAGGGATGGGGTGTATGAAGGTAGATACATGGATTGGCATGGAGGAAGGGATGGGGTGTATGAAGGTAGATACATGGATTGGCATGGAGGAAGGGATGGGGTGTATGAAGGTAGATACATGGATTGGGATGGAGGAAGGGATGGGGTGTAGAGAGAGAGAGAGAGAGCGGATGAATGGAGATAGAGAGATGAATGGGGAAAGGTAGAAGAACGGATGGGAATACCGATATATCCATAGATGGTAGAAAACAGGGATGGGCAGATGGATAAGGTTAGAGGTGTGAATATGTGATTAGATGGATAAAGATAGAGATATGGATTGGGATGGAGGAAGGGATGGGGTGTAGAGAGAGAGAGAGAGAGAGAGAGAGAGAGAGGGGTGGATGAATGGAGATAGAGAGATGGTAGAAAACATAGGGATGGGAAGATGGATGGATAAGGTTAGGGATGTGAAAAGATGGATACAGATAGATATATGGATTGGGATGGAGGAAGGGATGGGGTGTAGAGAGAGAGAGAGAGAGAGAGGTGAATGAATGGAGAAAGAGAGATGGATGGGGAAAGGTAGAAGAATGGATGGGAATACAGATACGTCCCCAGATGGACATAGACGGTAAAAAAAATTCAATTCCAGGTTCAGGTTACAAAAGCAAAAGTCACAGGCTGCTCAATCAACAGCGTAAAGCTTTTGGGACTTCATATGTTTTGTAAACGAATGGAGTAGAAAACTCTATTAGGATAGGCAGTGCTCGCATCCAAAACAAACTCAAGTAGGCCCCGTACTTATGGAAGAGGTACAGGAAACAAGGGATCTGTGTCCCCTTCTACAAGGTCTGCAATAAATATATAAACAGACCAGTGAGCTATCGGAACAGTTGACATAATTTAGAAAATACAGTGTAAATATCATCAATAAATAAAATGCATCATAAGATTATACAAAAGAATTGCATTTGTAAATATCAAGAAAATCTTTATATATGTATAAGATATATATATATATTACTAATATATTGTATTCTGTATAATTCCAACTCCAGTCAAATAAAAAAAAACAAACAGAAAAACTAGTGGTCCCTCAGCGGGGGATTAAAATAAACTCCCTATGTATATCGATTTCAGATGTAATATATATTCACTACAGAGATAGACGGTGGAATGAATGAGAGAAGAATAGATAGTTAGAGTTCTGAATGAGCTCCGAGGGGTTAATTGAGATAGAGGGATAGATGAGTGTGGAGAGAGACCGTGAGTTATAGGGTGGGATGGAGAGATAAGGGTGGATGGAGATGGGGAAGCTGAAACGAATGGAAACACAACATATGGGTCGGGAATGAGAGACTGAATAGACAGAGATATTGATGAATGTAAAGAACTAGACAGTGGGATGAATGGAGATAGATGGAGGTTGGGATAGAGAGGGGTGGGCAGAGATGTGGGTAGAAGGTGGGAATAGAGAGAATGAATAGACACAGAGATGTGGATGGATGGAGATAGAGAGGGAGGGAGTGATAGAGAGGGTGGGGGAGATAGATGGAGATAGGGAGGGAGAGATAGAGAGGGTGGGAGAGATATATGGAGATAGAGAGGGAGGCAGAGATAGATGGAGATAGAGAGGGAGGGGGAGATAGATGGAGATAGAGAGGGAGGCAGAGATAGATGGAGATAGAGAGGGAGGGGGAGATAGATGGAGATAGAGAGGGAGGGAGGGATAGAGAGGGTGGGGGAGATAGATGGAGAGGGAGGGAGAGATAGAGAGGGTGGGAAAGATAGACAGAGATAGAGAGGGAGGCAGAGATAGATGGAGATAGAGAGGGTGGGGGAGATAGATGGAGATAGAGAGGGAGGGAGGGATAGAGAGGGTGGGGGAGATAGATGGAGAGAGGGAGGGAGAGATAGAGAGGGTGGGAGAGATATATGGAGATAGAGAGGGAGGGAGAGATAGATGGAGATAGAGAGGGAGGGGGAGATAGATGGAGATAGAGAGGGAGGCAGAGATAGATGGAGATAGAGAGGGAGGGGGAGATAGATGGAGATAGAGAGGGAGGGAGGGATAGAGATGGTGGGGGAGATAGATGGAGAGGGAGGGAGAGATAGAGAGGGTGGGAAAGATAGACAGAGATAGAGAGGGAGGCAGAGATAGATGGAGATAGAGAGGGTGGGGGAGATAGATGGAGATAGAGATGGAGGGAGAGATAGAGAGGGTGGGGGAGATAGATGGAGATAGAGAGGGAGGCAGAGATAGATGGAGATAGAGAGGGAGGCAGAGATAGATGGAGATAGAGAGGGAGGGAGAGATAGGTGGAGGTGGAGATAGATAGGGTGGGGAAGATAAATGGAGATAGATGGAGAGATAGATGGATGGGGACACACATAAACTGTCAGTGCCTCTCCGTAGGTTTCTACTATTGCCAGTTGATGTTAATTTATACTGCATAGTACAAGGACAGTTTAACATTTTACCTTTCATTTATGCTGTATAAAAAATATTGTATTTCAGGAGCGATACACCTGTCCAAGCCTCGCCCTGCACCCAAAGGAGAACGTATTCATAGCACAGACTAATGGCAACTACATTGCTTTATTTTCTACTCAGCGCCCCTACAAAATGAACAAGAGAAAGCGATATGAGGGACACAAGGTAACGTGCTATGTTCTCTCTCTACACTGAGTGTACTTACTGTATTTTGTTACTTACTGGCTATTTTTTAAACCATAGAAAGGCAGAAAATGTGTACACATCTGGGATGGAAGGGGTGTAATAGGTCCAGGGTGGGGGGTTGGGGGGGGGCTGGTATCACAAACCAGATAGCAAGGTGTCCCAGGGAGGAGCAGAGCTTCCGATTCATTATTGGGCGCAGGAAGCTGAGAGATTTGGCTTGAATGATTTCAGTGCTTCTGTGACCTTTTGAAGATGAACTGCTACACAGTGCCTGCAGCTAAAATGGTCAGTGAGGGCATGTGAAAACACTTGAATGTCCACTGCCTGGCCACAGATTCATTTTAAGGCCTTGTGCTGATGAAATCAGTTTAAGACCTCATTAAGACCTAATGCAGCATGCACACCCGTAAACGAGCCGATCCCAGGAAGGACAGGTGCTGTGTGTAATTGCATGTAGCAGCCTGTTCTTCACTATGAGAGGACGCGGCTGTACGCTGTCATCCGCCCGCCCACACTTGCACACCTGTGCGGGTCTGGGTGTTCACACTTGGATGCACACTGTCTGCATCCAAGTGTGGACACCCGGAGCCTCACAGAAGTGCGGATGATAGGGTACAGCCCGTCCTCCCACAGGGAAGAACAGGCAGCACTTGTCCCTCCCAGGATCGGCCCATTTACAGGCGTGCACGCTCCAAGGATGTGTATGCCCCCTCTGAATGAGGCCTAAGGCGCTTCTGAGATCATCAGAATTTATTGGCAGGTGCATTTGGCATGGAGTTGAGTTTGTGTTCCATTAGATTTTTATTGGAATGCAAACCATGACATGTACTAGAAAGGATAGTGTAGTGGCTGCATGTGTATGTATGTTTGTTTGTAGCAGCCTGTATGTATGTTTTGTTTTGCTTTTCCTGTAACTAAGTTTGTACACGAAGCATGTTCGCCTAGTAAAGTACTTTAAAGGAGAACTATGGGGTTAAGGCTTTCCCCCATAGTTCTCCTTAGGGTAACGGGAGGACACAAACTAGCGTCCTCCCGTCACCCTAGGCTCAGTATATAGAGAGCTGCTTACAGGTCGGCTAGAACTATGAGGTGAGTGGAAATCACTCACCTCATAGTTCTCCTTTTAAATGCTACTGGGTCAGTTTCCTTCAGCTTTACTGCGAGAACACAACATAATAGAAATTAAAGTTTTGCCAAGCTTTACATTTTGGCTCGTCCTTGAGATAAACTCTACATTTAGGGCTTGTTCATACCAATTGCGGTGGGTTCCAGAGCAGTAGCTGCTGGAACGCACCGCAATCGCTCACATAACTTCCCCCTGCGTTCTGGGGCGGGGCGATGCATTAAATTCAATGGCATCGCTTCCACACACCGCCCGCCCGCAGACCCTTGGCAAAACATAGCCTGCGTTCCATTCCACTGCAAACGCAAAAAATGCTGCTCGCTCTATTTTTAGCTTTTGCGGTGGAAAGGAACGCAGGCAATGTTTCACCACACGTCTGATCGCACTGTGGGTGGGAGGGGGGCGTCGAATTCAATGGCACCACCACGCCCCCTCCCGCCCCAGAATGCAGGGGGAAGTTTTGTGAGCGTTTGCGGTGCGGTCCAGCAGCTACCGTTCTGTGTGAACAAGCCCTTAGGGGCTGATCTTTGGGATCTGTTATCAAAGCAAAATGAACGCCGGTATGTGTTCGCTCACCTCTCGATCTACTGAGCCGACCTGTGACAGTCTCATTGTCACAGGTCGGCTAGAACTATGAGGTGAGTGAAAAGCACTCCCCTCATAGTTCTCCTTTAACATAAGTCTCTGGTCCCGGGCATCAGCTGATCTGCATCTTTGCAGCCCTGACAGCTTCACCAGCGGAGGCAGAATTGCTAATAGGTTATATATTTAGGAATGTAAACAGCTCCACCATTAGAAAGTCGTAATAGTTTATACTTCAGAATTCAAACCTGACAGGAGAGGTTCAGTAAGCGTTCCGCACATCAGATGACTGCCTGGGGGATATAGACAGAGATCCCAAATATAAGCCACACTTTGTACCTGGCAGCGCCGCAATTGGCGGCTCGTTCATCTATTATTCACTTCCAGCTCTTTGTCTACATGTGAGCTCCTCCAAACACTTTTACCTGTGGCAGTAAACGCGAGAGCAGACTGCTTCTGTTGTGCATAGCAATACAAGTTAATATTTGGTTTGATGGATTCAACTGGAGGAAATGTTTAATTTTATACTGAATCTGTCACGGAGGAGTGAAGATCACGGCGTTGCAGAGAAGACTGAGACACTGCTTTATTCATGTTACAGTTGTTAAGTAATGAGCGGTGGGAATTTTATTTCCTTTTATTTACCCACTTGTCTACCAGCGCTGTTTATAAATGTCAGCTGGTTAGCAGTGATTTACAGCTGCCCGATCACTTCTATACCCCCCAAAAGTGCCACCTAACTGCCCATGCCATGTATTCCACAGACTTGGGATGGGCATGGCGGGTGGAGCAGTGGTAGATAGCACACATCTGTTCACTGATCTCCCCTCCTATGAATTACCCCCCGGAAGCGATGAGCATATTGTCACTTCCGGGTTCAGAGCTCTTATTCCCAAACTGCTGTGGCCTGGGGGAAGAAGCTGACGAAGCACATTGTGTGACAATTGTGAACACCAAAGTGTGTAGTCATTTCACGGGCACACACAATTTTAACGTTTGACATGTTTATCTAGTTACTTGGATAAACCACATCTTTCTAATTTTTTTTTATTGTTTACGAAAAAGTTTGGGATTATATTGTGCTTGTTTGGGGCTAAAATGAAAGCAGAACTCCGGGAAAAATTATGATTAACCTTTGCAGTGGGGCTACCCTTACATTGCAAAGGTTGACGGCTCGTTTGTGTCTAGAGAGGAAAATAAAAAAGCATTACTCACCTGATCTTTGGAGCCAGCCGGCGGTGACAGCGTTCCGTCCAGCCTGTCTCCTACGCTGCAGCAAATAGAATGTGCCTCGACGTGCTCATGTTCTATACACTGTGTAAAGAACGTCATGATTTACGGGACCTTAGACTGCTGCAGCAGAGGGGGACAAAGGCTATACGGACTGGACTTGAGAGCCGACCAGCTAAGAGGATTAGGTGAGTATATCTATTATTATTTTCCTCCACCTCCTTGACCCTTGCAGTGCATGGGGTAGCGTGGGAGTTCCTTTAGCGTACGTTATACTGAAAATTTGGGTTTGAGAAACAGTTGCACTAATATCATGTGGCATATATCATTGGGGAAGGGGGGATTAAAATGTGCATTTTAACATGTGCACAAAATGGTGACCACACTGTTTGTATTGCATACAAACACAGCGGCGTTGTTACTCTCCCCCTTCGGATTTTTATTCCCTCCTTACCTTTTTGTTCAGTGTTGTTCTCAATTCACATACTCACCTGCCTAGCAAACCTAGCATTGCACCATTGCTTTGCGCTGTTGACACAAGCTGGTTTCCATCTCGTCCCCCGCTGTCCCTACTCCTGCAGCCTCCAGGGATATATGTCGGGGATATCCCAGGAGCAGAGCACGTCATTGTGTTCTGATTCTAGGCGAGAATGGTAGCAGTCCAGAGAAGAAGAAAAAATGGTAAAGAATAGGGATGCACAGATACCGAGTATTTGGGCGAGTATTCATACTGGCCCAAATGTTCCGATACTTATCCCCGATACCGCAACTTCTGGGCAGTGCCGCGAGGAAACATGGAGCCGGGCAATCGGGAATCGGGGCCGTGGGTAATGACTGGTGGCCCGGCTTTCTGATTGGCCAGGAAGCCAATCAACATCGAGCCGGCCAAACAGGCCATGGTTAATGACCCACCTCCCGGCTTCCTGATTGGCCAGGAAGCCGGCTTCCTGGCCAATCAAGTGGGTGATGACACGCTGTCCGGCATCCCAATTGCACAGGAAGCCGGCTCCATGCTACCAGAAGTACAGGTCTGTCTGCTCGTCACAGACGAGCAGACGAGTGGATTTTCGAGCCCTGGGTATTGGCGAGTAACCAAATATAAATATCGGTACGGTATGGGTGCATCCCTAGTAAAGAAACTGGGAAAAAGTCACATTTCTGGTTTGTCCTTTGCAGCAAAATCCCACAACAGGAGATTAGGATTCCACGAGCGTTCCCTACAAGAACAATGTACTAACCTCTGTATTGTACGAGAGCCAGGAACTTAACAAGTGGAACCGAGTGTTTTTGTTATTCATCAGTCGGTGTAAATGGCAGAATTGACAATGCTCTACATTACTTCTGAATGAAGATCATCTTCTGTTTGTCCCCAATGAGGGGGAGCGGATGATATTCTCAGACAAGCTCATGAATCTTTTCTTCACGCTCTGTTATGCGTGTCTCTTACAGGTTGAAGGCTTTGCCGTGGGATGCGAGTTCTCTCCCGATGGGTCACTTATCGTCACGGGAAGTTCAGACGGCTCCGTCTATTTCTACAATTATCATACTTCAAAGATGGTCAGATCTCTGCCTGGGGACGGGAACGCGTGTGTCAGTATCAACTGTCACCCGGTTCTGACGTCCCTCGTGGCAACCGCTCACTGGGACGGGCAGATCAGGGTTTGGCAGTAGCCGTGTTTTGTAACAATTGTGTGACCTGACTGCCTAGCTTTAGTTGTATGTCCAGCCAAAACTTTATTATTTCTCTGCCATTGACTTCCTGACCATCATTTAGTGTCCTGACTGTCTTCAGGAAAACTCTGTAGCGGAGCACTGAACAGCAGTAAAAACATAGTGTCCACTAATTCCCTACTTTAACCCCTTCACGACCTATGACGGGATAATCCCGTCATGAAGTCAGAAGGGGTTACACAGACTGTTCCGTTTTGTCGAGCCGGCGACTGCTTTACGGTAGAAACGATTCTGGCGGCTTAGCTGCCGCCAGATCGCTTCTACGATCCGGTAACCGGGACGCCTCCCGCCTTGTTTCCTGGGCTCCGCCGCCACTCCTACGGGACCGGCTTGCCGGGTGTCGGCGGGAAGCTGGGGAGGAGAGCGGCGAACATCTGTTCGCTGAACCCCCTCCACGTACTATGGGACCAGGAGCGACACGTATTGCATCATTTCCAGTCCCACAGCTGTCATTGATGATTGCGCTACACATGTTGGGTATCGCTGCGCACGCCGGAGTCAGAGCAATGATTCTAAGGCTGATATATACACATATCTCTAAACTGATGACCTGTAGAGGCCTTTAAAGCGTCGCCTATGGACTTTTTGGGGTACTGAAATTTGTCACAGTTTCAAGGACGCACATAATTTTTAACCTGGCATGTTGGGTATCTATTTACTCGTTGTAACCTCATCTTTTATATTTTACCAAAAAAATGGTTTCCTATAGTGTTTTGGGGCACTATATTTAACTTAAGTGCATTTTTGACTATATTTTTGGGTTTGATAATAAGTTGGCGCTAATGTCGTGCAACATCAAAATTTGCAACTGCCGCCATTTTATTCTACAGGGTCTCGGCTTTCAGAAAATATATAATGTTTGGGGGTTTTAAGTCATTTTCAGGCCTAAAATGTGGATTATAACATAAAAACAAAAACGCCTTTCTCCTTAAGGGGTTAACCATAATGCAGGAAGAAAAGGTTTTGGCTGGACTTGCACTTTAAATAATTCAGCAAAAGGTTAAATTACAAAATCTAGTCCATTTAGGTTTAGGTAGCATCTACTGCTTGTACAAAGTGTATATAAGATTGTATATTTTAACACCCTAGTTCATAAGCGTCCATATATACAAGTCATACATGTTTGTGGATGTGTTTGAATGATGACTGACGATTTAGACAACGCCAGCTTGAGACATTATCACTGCGCACCCGATTTCCACCAACAGCACCTAGGAAAGGGTGATGTCACCCTCCCACATCTCGCAAGAGGATGCATTTGCACAGTGTAAGAAAGTGGTGACAAGAGAGCATGGAGCCAATCAGGAAGCCAGGCGGCGTGTAATGACTCACTGCCTGGCTTCCTGATTGGTTCGGGAAACTGGCCAATTAATTACCCGCCCCCCGGCTTCCTGATTGGCCAGAAAGCCGGCTCCATGCTTCCTCGTCACATCGTGATGAGGGAGCATGGAGCCAGCTAATTGGGAAGCCGGGCAGCGAGTCATTACATGCCGCCCAGCTTCCTGATTGGTCGGGAAGCTGGCCAAACAGGAAGCTGGGGGGCGGGTCATTACCCGCCACTTCCTGATTGGCCAGAAAGCCGGCTCCTGCTTCCTCGTCACGTGGTAATGAGGGAGCCGGCTTCCCCGCTAATCAGGAGTCATTGCATGCCACCCGGCTTCCTTTATGGGACTTCCGGTATCGGCGAGTACCGAAGAAAAAAAAATGATCGGTACTCAATACCGAAAAGCCGTTATTGGTGCATCCCTATTTCATGACACCACCCTTTCTTGTGCGTAAGGGAAGTCATTTTTCCTACTTTTCTCTACAGGTGTTTTTATTTTTGTATTGGAGTGTGGGCTATTATTTAACCCCTTGCACTTAGACAGGTCTGGCACCTCCAAGCTGTAGAGTCATCCAATCACTTTTTCATGACTCACACCTGGGGCTCCCCCCTCCAAATCCCACCCACCTCCACACTTTGGATCCCTGGCTCTCCCATTTGCTCCTGGGAGCCCGGGACCACAAAAAAACACAGCCAGGATGGTGAGATCACATTGAAATGCATCTATTCCCATCGTCCTCTGCAGCACTTGAACCCAGAAGCGTTCAACTCTGAGCATTTCCAGATTCAGCGCTATCAAAATCCCTCCAGAAAAGCCATTCGAGCACAGTCTGTGACGACCCCTAAACTGACGACGAAATTTGCCCCAAACACTGATATTTTGGGGTACTGTAATTCTTGGTGGTTTCCCGGGCGCAGACAGTTTTGAGGCGTGACATATTTATTTATCTATTTACCTAACCTCATCTTTTATTTTGTACGAAAACTTGTGGATTAAAATGTATTTGTGTGCACTAAAACGAGTTTCTCTGTATTCTTTCCCGAAAATATGGATTTCTTAGACTGTTAACCAAATATCGTACAACAACAAAAAAAAATTGCAACATTTATCATTTGATTCCACAGGAAAATATATCTGTGTTTGGGGGGTTTTGAGTCATTTTCTAGATAACAAATGAAAAAAGTGCTCCGAAGGCAAAGTGGTTAAAGAGACCCTGTGACCTTACCGACTCGGTGCAATCACTGTACAAAAAATTCTCAGGGTTCTGATTAACAGATGATGTGGATTGGAGCGACATTCACCATATTTGTTCCCAGAGTATTTTTGTACAAGTCATTCTGAATTGAGGAAGCCGGTCGGACGACCAGTGAAACATTTTCAAGAAAAATACAGCGAGTCCAGTTGCCTCGACTTATTTTTGATTCAGCAATCGACTATTATCAAGCGGGGCCACCCCCACTGTTAGGATTTCGTCCAATCCCTGTGAGCAGTGTATGGCCTGCATGCACACGAGGCCTTCTAGGATATCTGTAGCAAGAAGCTACGAATTCTTGTGGCAGAAATCTCGGGTGTCCCCATTTAGTAAATGCGGCCGCTGTACCCGTTCATGTTAACGGACAGGGTGACAGCAGCTGCATCGGTCAGCGGCAGTCCGCATGCAATTGAATACACTCCAAGCTGGCTCCCGGGATGGACTACAATCTCAATACAAATCAGTAAACTAAACCTGAGATTGTAGTCCATCACAGGAGCGAGCTTGGAGCGGTGACTACTTTACAGCACACATAGGGACCATGGGGAACACAAGTAGCCCCCCTCCAGAAGGAAGGACAGTGTCGGCACCAATTCAGAGATGATTGGAGGATCTACAGCCGAGTGATACACAAATAAGATACATTGAGGGCAGGTTCACACCATTATCCGGACCAGATCTGGTCTGGAAAATGGTGTGAACCTGCACGCAGTTCCAGTGCATTCCAGACCAGACAAAATGAGACTAGCAGTATTTTTCTGGTCTGGTCTGGAACAGACTGCGCTGGTATAAACATAGGCCAGAAATAGCCTAGGGATACATTAGGATGCATGTTGGGTCCGGAAACACTCTGGTCTGGAGATGATCTGGATGTGGTGTGAACCTGCCCTGAGGGGAATTTATCAAAACTGGAGCAGACAGAATCTGGAGCAGCTGTGCACTGCAACCAATCAGCCTCATTTTCAAATCTTAACTGAACAAACAGATGAGAGAAGCTGATTGGTTGTCATGCACAGCTGCTGCTCCAAGTTTTGATAAATTCTCCCCATTGTTGTTAATAGTTAAGGTTCCTGAATGGATTTTTAAAATTTCACTTTAGCTCTAGCACACCAGCTCACCCTTCTCCGGTGTGTTGGTGATTTGGGAACCCCTTTTGCCTTCTTATTGGTAATATAAGCAGGGCCGGATTTCCCACAAGGCCAACCGAGGCCCGGCCTTGGGGCAGCAGGGAGTAGGGGGGCGACAGCAGTGTTGAATTCCTATCTCCAGATGCCCGGGACATGCAGTGCCGGGCGGGTAGTGTTTTTTTACATTTAGCCCTGCTTTGGGCAAGCAGAGCTAAATGTACAGCGGGGAAGCCACCGCTTGTTTTGTATGCAGCATGCAGGTCTGCCATTCTCCATGGGGGAAGGTTGGCGGGTAGGGGGGGCCTTGGGGCAGCAGAGAGAGAGTAAATCCGGCCCTGAATACAAGAGAGGGATTCCCGACCAAACGCAATGCATGGAACTTTACATACAGATCATCTTCTGCATTAAAGTGTCAGTACTAAGGTCAGAGGAGTTACTTGACCGACAGTCATTGTACATCTGAATATGATTGGTCATACAGCAATCGGTAACAAACCCTCCTGTGGCTTCAGCAGAACTCAATGTACTCAAATGCAATCCATCCGTATAGAAGAGGGAAAGCTACACCGACAATAGAACCGCATCCTTTATTTGTAGAGAAGAAAATAATTCAAAGTACATTCTTCTTCAAACCATTTATGAATATTACACCTTCCAGCTTAAGGATTGACAGTGTGAACTGTATTCATCACACGTGCTAACCAGTAGGATGAATACTATTAACAAGTCTCTCTATACGCTGGGGGGTGTAACATTCACGGGTTTGAAGAATGTACTTTGAATTTGGATTGACAGTGTGATCGGTATTTACCAAATGTGCCAACCAGTACGATGAATACTGTTAACGTGCCTATCCGTAGGGTGGGAGGTGTTTTGTTCTTAAATGCCTCTAAGAATGTACTTTTCACAAATGTTTGCTCTGCAGACAATTGTAGAACGCGGTTCTATTGTCGGTGCAGCTTTCCCTCTTCTATACGGACGGATTGCATTTGAGTACATTGAGTTCTGTTGAAGCCACAGGAGGGTTGTGTTAGTGATTGCTGTATGACCACCGACAATCCTTGTATGTCTGAATGAGACTGAAGTAACTCCTCTGAACTTCGTACTGACACTTTGATACAGCAGGTGTGTCAGGGGTCTGCAGTGGGTGTGTTTGGGAATCCCTCTCAAGGTGCCCATACACTGTACGATAGTCGTGGGAAATCCCGCGATCGTACGATAACCGCAAAGTGTATGGAAGGCGTGCAAACCGTTTCTACTGTACGGCCGCATGTCTTCCGTC